GGAAGAGGTGTTAAGACAGGGTAGTATTTAAGAAAATTCTAGTCCAGATGTTAAAAATTGGCTTGACAAAGTATTTCTGTTTTTATATGTGGGAAAGATAAACAGGTTCAAATATTGTGAAAGATAAGCTCCCAGAATAACTAAATAGAAAGCAGCAAATACCAAAGAGATGTGAAGGTAGTGCCTTGGTTCCTGGTATAACATGATGAATAAAAGAAATAGGAAGAGATTACAGTGTATTAAGTTAAAGAGATGAGACTATAGGATGTTCATTGAGACAGCAGTGGGATGTCTTGAGTAGATTTCCAGTCTAACAACTTAGAAGACATGGCTTTTTATCCTGATTCTGGCACTTAATATCTGCATGATTTTGAAGAAAACATTTGATTCGTACCTATTCATGAGGGTGTGTAACATCTGCTCAGTCTATGTTACTATATTGCTTTAAGAATCAAAGGTGGTAAAGGTTTTAAAATGTAACATAACTACAATGGTGTGTTACAAGAATAAGATAATAAGTAGAGATGGTATATAGAGTTTTCTGGCAAGTGAGGTTTGCATTGAAACCATTTTGGAAGTAATGGCAAGGAAGGGCTGACTTCCAAAGTAGATACTAGCCAATAGATGGGAGGAATCAAAGAGAAGAGAGCAGTCTTTTGGAAGCCAAATATGAAGAGAAGATGAAAAAAGGGATGAATGTAGTCAAAAGAAATGGAAGGGTCAAGAAGAGATCACTCTTGCATGAAGAAGTCTAAAAAGTTGTCATTAATATGAAAAATGTCCCTAATAAATAAAGTTAGTAGATAATTACTGAAGTACAAATGTTATTAAGGGCACTCCGAGTGAAGAAATGTGATGAGAAAATGAGGAGAAGAGATAATTAACTGGTAAGACCAGCCATTAGAGAAACAAAGTAATATGTTTCCAATTTGCTTGTAGTTGTTATGCATATTACTTGGGTTTCCAAATCCTTTGGAATGTCTGTGATGTAGATTAGGCTTCTTAGTTTCATGGACAGTCTCTTTTTCACGTTGCATGTACTGTCTATTCTAAGATGCCAAACTAAATTGGTATCTTCTGATACCTTCTAGTAAGGGAGCATTAAAGGTTGTTTGATGAATTATGAAAATTAATGTTCTGTCTAACATGCTAATGTACGTTATATTATATATTATACATATTATCTATTCCTTTTACTCAGAAAAGCAGATCTTTTCCATAAGCCAGGGTTCAGAATTGTTTCCTTTGGTACCAGGATTTCTCTGATCAACTTTCCATCCTCAACTCTTTCCAAATGATCCTGAAAAACAAAACAAATGAAACAAGCCCACCTCCCTTACTGGCATTTCAGATAGTAGCCATCTCTGCGCATATGTCCTCTTGAACAAGGAGTACATCAAAAATAAACAGTAGAAAAACACCGATGCAAAAATTTTTTTAAAAAGTATTATGTTTGAAGCAGAAGTTTCTTATAGCTTCTGCATTTTCATTTGAGGTTTTTATTCTCTAAAAATAAACCTTACAGTAGGAATAGTGTCATTTTATATTTTACAGAATTATTGGCACTTAGCAACTAATAAATACAAACTATAACTATAACATGATATTTTCCAAACAAAAATGTTACCTACTGATTAGGAAAACTGAAAGGCCAGTGCTCATCTTATTTCAAGGACAAAATGGCAATTCAGAAATTTTATCCAGTATTATGTGACTATAACTTTCAAATTTTGATATATACATGCTTGTCAGTTTAATAGGTAATGCTAAGTTTTCTCACTAGTAGACTATAATGCCTATGAATTTAAAAGACAATTTTCTTATAAGTTAGCAACTCTAAATTATGGGCATCTTGCCTCTGATCATTACCCCAGGAGTAGCAAGAAAAGTAAATAAAAAGTAAACAGAGAATGAGCTAAGACACTGGTTGTGGTTAATTCTCAGTTCTGAAGGCCAAAAATTAATTGGGCACAGAGAAGATCTCCTTTGCAGCCTACAGCAAGTACACTAATCACTTAACCAGTAGGTGGGATGAAACTTTTAACCAATAAAGACAATGGAGAAGTTTTCTGTTGTTTGTGTTTTACCACGAACTTCTCCAACAAAAAGTTAATAGCAAAGAAAAAATATATGGTAAAAGAAGATGATTCATACCTACCCCTTACAGATGTTGTTTTTCATCTTCAGCTGCTTTCCTTGCCTAAGTTTTTCATTTCCAAAAGAATTAAAAAAATAATAAGTGATCATCACAGTTTCCCTATATTACTGTACTCAAACTCTATCTAAATTGGGTTTACTTTATGATCAGTACAAGGCAGGGCTCCTTTCTTGGTGTCGGTAGAATGAAAGCAATTCAAAAAAGAAATGGGACTTTTCTTCTGCTGCAGAAGTCTCACAGTTTCTGCTCAATGAGAAACTTTCCTGTGTGAATCTGTGCACACTACTAAAGGTATTATAAATTAGTACAGTCTTAGAAACCTCCAGGTATTTTTTTTGGTCTTGACTTCACAGGCAGCTTTCCTGCCATATTCTTGGAGTACAAGTTTGTTGGCAAAGATTTGGAATGCCCAGGAGTAGTTCTGGCCACACTTCTTTTTCTTCTTCCTCTTCTTTTAAACCATGGAAATATATTCTCTGAATATTCTGAAGACTGAAAGTCCCAGATCAAGGATCAAGGTGCCTGCAGAGCTAGGCTCCCTCTGAAGGCGCTAGGGAAGGCTCCCGTTCCAGGCCTCTCTCCCACCTGCCGGTAGTTCCTTGGCTTAAGGCAGCATTACTCGAATCTTTACGCAACCTTTCCCCTGCGCGCACATCGGATCTGTCTCTCAACATTTTCCCTTTTTATAAGGATACCAACCATAGTGGATTAGAAGCTCATCCTCCTCCAGGATGACCTCATCTTAACTAATTACATTTGCAACGATTCTGTTTCTAAATAAGTCCACATTCTTTAGTTCCTGGAGGTTGGGACTTCAACACAATTTTGTTGTTGTTGTTGTTTGGGGGCGAACATGGGCAGGCCATAATTGAACTCATAACAACTACTTAAAACAGTACCTGACACCGGCCGGGTGCGGTGGCTCACGCCTGTAATCCCAGCACTTTGAGAGGCAGAGGCGGGCGGATCACGAGGTCAGGAGATCGAGACTATACTGGCTAACACGGCGAAATCCTGTCGCTACTAAAAATACAAAGAATCAGCCGGGCGTGGTGGTGGGTGCCTGTAGTGCCAGCTACTCTGGAGGCTGAGGCAGGAGAATGGCGTGAACCCGGGAGGCGGAATTTGCAGTGAGTGGAGATCACGCCACTGCACTCCAGCCTGGACGACAGAGCAAGACTCCATCTCAAAAACAAAAAACAAAAAACAGTATCTGACACACAGCAACCGTGTCATAAATGAGAGGTATCATGACTAGTATGATTGACATCATCATCACCATCTAACATGCTCTGCCATATTCACCCCATCCACAAGGTTTCTGACATCTGCCAGGATGGCACAGCTTCTGCCACATGGACTTCTCTCCATTCCCTCACAGTCTTTTATGCCATTTAACCCTTGGGCCCACACTTCTTAATCTGTGTAAAGGACAATCAGATGTTACAACTTGTTCCCCAGTACCTGGTGTTGGAAGATTTGGCTCTTCGAACATGCTCCATTTTATAATTTAGCTATTGAATCTAAAACACTCCCTAGTGTCCCCTTTTTGAAAGGAATGATTCAGTGCTGTATTTCTCCAAGGTAAATTAAGTGCCCATTCTGGTATGTGGCATTTTAATAACACCTTGTAAACTAAGGACGGGTTGAACCTTCTGAAAACAGAGCTGAGAAAACTGAGTAAGCCTTTTCCCTGAGGAATACTAGTATATTAGACACTCCATAAAATGTTAATGCTTTTTATTCCAGTCAGTTGCTAGGCTCCAAGAATGCTTCTGCTTTCTCTATCATCTTTAATGTGCAGTATACCAGGGGAATATCCTGTAAAGAGCTCAGGGAGAAGGAAGGGCCTCAGTTAAAGCTTGCAACACACTGAGCAAAGCATCCCAACTCCTTTCTGAAGACCGTACCATCAGCCCAATGGAGTCTTCCTTTTGTTACCATTTATACAGTAACGTGGGGACTTGCAGTGTCATTAAGCCTCATCCTGAAGCTTGAGCTGAGAAATAAAGGAAGCTAGTGGTTATGATACAGGACCAGTTATCAAAAATCACAAGAATTCATTGTGACTTTAGATGGATTACTTTTGGCTCCTGTGGTTTCTGTGTCAATATAGTTTTCTTTTTGTATGTGTTTGTGGTTGAGAATGTATATTGCTGTTTTTTCTTTTTTCACCTAACATTATATTTTGAGCATTTTCTAATATCCTGAAAATGATTAAAAATATTATTTTCAACAGTTTCAAAATAAGAGTTTTTTTCTGTCTTAATGTCATTGTACTTAAATCTTTGTGTTTCTGATTCATATTTTTCCCTTTATTTCCGATTTTTCAGATTGTCAATATTCTATTCTTGATCCCATAGAACTATTGTGAAATTTAATCAATGTTAATGTTTTGAAAACCCCAAATGAATATAGCAAAGTGAATAAAAAGTAGTTTCTACATGTTGTTTATTTTTTTCCTGAACTATTCTGTTTCCTCTTAGGCCCATTTCCTTAGTGAAATTATACTATAACTTCTTTAGAGTATAGCTCTTCGGGTGTAAGTTAGCTACCTTGGATATAAGATATACCCAAGGAAACCAAGAAACTAAATCATAGTTAAAATCTAACATTACTCTGACAATATCTGGTTTAATAACTTTTTATTTGACATGTTATATATATATAACTCCTATTCTAAAGAATATATATTCTTGAGTCTCTCACTAAAAAATATTTTTACAGTGAAACACCTGATTAAAATTTTTCATCTTAAATAAATTCAGGAACCAGTTGAATTACAAGGGTTTTTCTGTATAACATTTTTTCAAATCTAAGTTTTATTTTCACTTCCTTGTAGTTTATTAGAACATAAAATCTTAGAAATGGAAGGAAAACACAAGGAAGAGTTGGACACCTTAAAAGAAGAGAAAGAAAACCTTCAAGGCTTGGTTACTCGTCAAACATATATAATCCAGGAGCTGGAAAAGCAATTAAACAGAGCTACCACCAACAATAGTGTCCTTCAGAAGCAGCAACTGGAGCTGATGGACACAGTCCACAACCTTGTCAACCTTTGCACTAAAGAAGGTGGTAAGAATGTCTTCCTCACTCTGGTATTGTTAATATTTTATTTCCTTTGAGCAAGTAAATACTCAGTATAGCTTTCTACAGTGCATTGATTGCTGTATAAAAAGCAGCAGAAGAACTTTACGGTTAGAATCATTTATGAATTTATGTTGATAATTTTCTCACGTTGCTACCTAGAGAATGATTCATAAGCTGAAATTTGTGAATCCACAATGTCTTTCTGAAAGAGTGCTCTAATTTCTTCTTTCTTTGTCTTTTTAACCTTAGATAAAATCTGTGATACTGTCGTGAATATATAATTGGTATTATGGTGTTAGACACTTAACTATGTATAGGACAGAGATGAGCCAATGTTAAAAATTAGTTCATCGTGCTGGGAGAGTTTCAGGAGGATTTCCATTTTTAAGCTAATATTTATTATTTCCTTTTAAAGGGAATGGGGTAGGAAATTGTGGGTTGCAGAGAAAATCAGACAGACTATTTGTAACAAGTATTATGAGTGAGGCAGGATTATTGTTATCAAAATTATTTATTAAGATCACTTGTGCTTAGTCCTGTGCAGGATACATTAATTCTGGGGTGTCATTGTGACAGTGGAGATACAAATTTTTGATACCACTAGAATGTCTGAAGCCATTTAACCTTTGGGAACATCTACAAGTCTGTCATTCTTTAGAAGGCATACATCTGTCGATCCATCCATCCACCTAACAATTATCGAATGAATGCGTCCGCTTGCACCTGTTTCCTTCAAGCAGAACCTTTAGTGAGCCTCAGTAGAGCTCTTCAAAGTTTGGAACTTGAAGTCATCTTCTGTATTTCTCTAATCAGCCTTTCTCTGAATGAAGGTGGAATTGTAAATGGTGATGAGTGAAAGAGAATACCACTTATATCTGAAAGTTGTTGTTATTAAGCTGTGGCTTATGTGACCATTCATGAAGTGGTTCAGTGAGCATATGCAACATACACATGGGGAGGTTCCTTTATTTAAAAGTGGATTTGAGCTATGTTACAAATTTGTTCAATTTCATACTTTCGTGTATAGCTATGAATAGGGAAGATAACTCCATATTAAGTGATTTTGTTTTAAAGACATTTCACATTTCTCTATTACACTTCATTACCTTGAGTTATATCTCCTTTAGATAGTCTAAACAAGCCTTTAATATACTTTGTAAAGCAAAATTTTTTTAAACAGTGAGTTCCCGGAGCTCCATTTGGGTGTGCTCAGTAATGTGATTGGGAAGGGAAAAGCCTGCTAATCAGTCAGACCCTGCCAAAATCTTGAGTTAGAGTCCACTGGAAGGAAAGCATGGTAGTATTTTGCCAGAGAATTTTAATAGAGCTCATGAGCATTTAAAAATTAAGTATTAATACGAGATATATCTATTCTCATATTGAACTGAATACATTTTGGGAAAGATTGAAAACACATTTTTCTTATCATCCTGAGACTTAAAGCACATGGAGTGGAATAGTGGTTTTTATTTCATGATTTTAGAGATGTCAAGCCCTAGTGATTCTCACAGAGCTCATATGTCTGCGTACTTATCATAATTTAACTTCTTTTCTGAGTATTTGCCTAATAAATGTGTCTTTAAGCTTTTAGAGGAAGAGGGTGTGACTTTAAAAGTAAATATTCTGGCTAGGTTTGAACTTTGGGTGCAATATCAGGGAAGCAAACATCTGTTCAATTTAAGAAACATTTTTTTTTGAAAAATGAGGATAGACCCTTAATAGCCATTCAGGAAGTGAAAAAAGTAACGGTGTCTATTCTATGATGTAGTATATCCAAAAAATAGAAATAATAATCATAGAAACTGAATTGGTCTAAATATTCCAGGCCTCTAGATATCTTTTCTTTTTAATGACAACACTCTAAGATGAATCCTGATTTAACTACAGGATTTGCCATCTTCATTTAAGGGAATTGCCTAATTTTCCAATGGGTTCTGAGCTGTCATGATCATAGATTTTATTTGCTTCTTGTTAATCTCTTTTTTCTTTAATCTTACTGTGAAGTATTCTAACTAAATATTTCGTTATTTTAGAACTCATAAGAGACACAAAAATGGAAAGTGGCTCTCATAAGATTTTTATGAAGATTTTCATTGTCTGCATATCTTTATTTTCACTGGAGCCATAGTGTTTGGCTATGGTGAATTTAAAATTTTAAATGGCTAATAGCATAATACTAGATTAAATATCAGTTATTAAAATGAACTTTTATTCAAATTCTAAAACACATGGGTAAAGCCTTTCTTTGTTTTATGACCAAAATTTATATATCATATAAATTTATTATTTATTGAAGGATTATATGTAAATATTTTACTTATAAATTTATATATATGCAAATATTTTAAAATAAGTATACCACAATAAATGCATCAAATATTCTAAAATGTATATTTTAAAACTCAAATATAGATGTTCTACAAGATCTTCAAAAACACGAGCTGTGTCATCATCCAAAAAGCCAACCATTTTAATTCACCCTAAAGGTCTTCTGGTTTCAATCTGACCGACTAATTTGTAGAGACAGCCTGAATATAATACTGCAAGGCAAGATAAAAAAAGTTAATGAGCTTCCCCTGTCACTGGCAACTAGTTTAACCTTTATGAAGCCGTCTCATCATGTATAAAGTCAGGAGAATTCTGTCTATTTCACCACAATAGGGAAAGAATTACATTTGATGCTCAATATACAAGCAAAGGTCACATTGCTGAAGACACAGTTGATTCATTAAACTTTAGTTTCTTCTTTCTCCTTCAATGGACAAGATTCTGTTAAGTACATTCATTATGTGCTTTATAAGCAAAACTTCTTTTGCAGAAAATGTTTAAATACAATGCCCCGGAATGTTTGAGTGTCGACAGCCATCCAGGCAGCTTTTTTGACCTCCATTTTCTGATCTCTAAAATGGGATCATAATATTTACCCGGTGGGTGTGTAGTGCACCATAAATATATGCAAATTTTATTTGTCAATTATGTAGTTCAAAATTGCCAAAAAAGTGGATTGTAAATGTTCTCACCACAAAGAAATGACAAGTATGTGAGGTAATGGATATGTTAATTAGCTTGATCATTCTGCAGTGCATACATGTACCAAAACATCACGTTTTACTCCATAAACATATACAGTTATTATTTGTCAATAAAAATAAAATTTAAATTTAAAAAAGAAATAGAGGGCCTAGAATAAATACATACATAAACAAGTAAATGAATTAATTAATTTTTTAAATGTTGAAAAATTTAAAAAGGGTAGTATAAAACACATAGCTTCTGTGTTAACTCATAGTGAATATTAAAATAATAGTAGTTATCTTTATTTTAATGCCTTCTAAAGTGCCTATAATGCGTTAAAGTTATATGATAAAGAATTCCTAGGAAGTGTTGGCTAGAAATGTACTTTTTTTTCCAAACATTTGTTTGATCCAGAAACAGTAAATCTGTCTTTGCATTAAGAGAGTACTTTCGTTTCGTTTCACAGCACTTTTTCTACTAACACATCTGATGTTGTGAGATACTTTTAAGTAAGAACAACTAATAAACACATTCTCTGAAATAATTCTGCAAATTTTCCTCTTCTTGTTCCTAATAGACAATAGTGGTGTCTTAGGCAAATAGTCAATTCAAACTGAATTGCATCCACTTTGTAAAGCTTCTGAGTAACACGTTTATTTTTGTCTAACCTTCATCTGCAAACATTGGGCCACATTTATTCTTAGAAACATTATCCACTAAAGAAATATTGCCCTCAATGTTATCACAATGTCAAAACTCAGCTGATTGCTTCATGTTTTTGGCAATTCGAAATTACCAAACTTAAATAGTTGCTGGAATTAAATAGTTTACACTAATAATGGCATACAAACAAGGTTTTGAATCTTTCAGGGGAGAATAATCAGTTACTGTGACTATTAAAAAATCACTAGTTGGCCAGGCGCAGTGGCTCATGCCTGTAATCCTAGTACTTTGGGAGGCCAAGGAGGGTGGATCACTTGAGGTCAGAAGTTCAAGACCAGCTTGGCCAATATGGTGAAACCCCATCTCTACTAAAAATACAGAAATTAGCCAGGCATGGTGGCACATGCCTGTAATCCCAGCTACTCAGGAGGCTGAGGCAGGAGAATTGCTTGAACCCAGGAGGCAAAGGTTGCAGCAAGCTGAGATCGCGCCACTGCACTCCAGCCTGGGCAATAGAGTGAGACTCTGTCTCAAAAAAATAAAAACAAAAAAAAATTCACTGGTTATCTATGTACAGTGGTGATTAAAACATCACATGTGGAACATACATGGGGCAAATATATTATATAATTGGGAATGTACTGACAAAGTCTGTTAAAAAAGAAAGAAAGGAAAAAAGAAAATAAAATTTTTTTAAATAGTATTTAGACTGTATTATAAACTTACACAGTCTGATTGTCTCACACTGCCCAAATCAGCTTGAAGCTCATTTCTGCTGTAGCAAGATGTGGTTCACAAATGTATCCATTCATTCCAAACAGTTCTGCAGCAACTGTTCTGTTCTGGGGAAATGATATTTATTCATTTTTATTTAACAAATATTTGGTAACTTTCTATAAAGTGTCAAATATTGCTCAGACCACTAGGAAAAACAAAAGATGTATTTCATCCTGTGGCTTTAAGGAACCTAGGGTTTGATAGGAGAGAAACAAGTAAACAATTATTTTTCAGAATTCTTTGCTAGAAGTGAGCCTTTGGTACCTGGACCCCAGCAAAGCTCACAGAGAAATATTAAAATCATGGCAGGAACAGAAGGATAAGTGCAGAATCCAGCATCACTAGAGTTTTCTTGGGGATTTTACTGAATCCTTATTATGATTCTAGTTTGCTTAGGCTTTACATGTGTTAGCCCTTACAACAGCAACATGAGGGAGTTACCATGTCTAGCATCATTTTATAACCTCCACAGAGAATTTGAGAATTTGCCCAAAGTTGCAAAGCTGGAAATCGTTGATCTAGCATTAAAA